ATTCAAAACAACCAAGTTTACGCTACATGAAACACATATTGATTTAATTACCTCAGACATGCAAACCAGATTAATGTTTATATTTCTTTACCCCTGAAGTTGTGTTTAGAATGTAAAGAACACGAGCAAAGGGAAAGAGTTAGGATTAGAATTTGCCTGTAAGACTTTGGTTCAAAATCTTAGCGCCGTCTACCTAAGGTTTCCAGCAATCCTTACTATAATTCTCCTCTGTTCCTTCTCTGCCTCCACAGTCGTGAGTAGGGTTCTAAAACCCTTGGCAGAACCTTATACGTATATTTATAGGCCAAACTAATCATAGGTTCAATTAAACCCTAAACTGACTTACTCGGCCCATAGACCAACCCATGTTAGATATACGTCGGCTGCATACGTGAATTCTAAAAATACAAAAAAAAAAAACCTAATTTAATAAATAACACATTTAACCATTAAAATAAAATAAAATCTAATTTAATAAACAACTAAAATAAATAAAATCCAATTAAATAAACATGAGATTCAAATAATTAATCAAATAACATAAAAACAAAACCATTTAATTAAATACACAATTAAATAAAATAATTAAATAAAACAACCACATAACACAAGTAATTTAAATAATGCACAATTAATAAATTAAAACACAATTCAACAATTAAAAAAATTCCAGAACTATTCTTTTAACAATTAAATAAATTCCAGAACTATCCTTTTAAAATTAGGAGTATTACAAGAAGTGAGGATTTCCTATAATATGCAAGACTATCATATTAAAAGCATGTACACAATATATATTAAACCTCAAGGATTATAAAACACTTAGAATATAAATATACTACCACCCCTACCTCAATAGAGAATCGAATCTCTATAATCCAAGCAACCAAGCTCAAAATGTAAAACAAGTTTAGGGTTATTGAAGAGGAGAGTGAGAGGAATCTTTCATCTCCCAAGGTTTTTACTCTAAAGTGAATGGAAGGAAGCTAAAATGAACTAAGAAGCTCTAAACCAAGCTTTCCTCTAATGGTGGATTTGCTAGAGTCTTGAAGAACAAGTGTAAATGAAGAAGGTGAAGTGAAAAAGGTGAGTGGAGGGTCTAGTAATCCTCCACTCACTATGTGCTCTTACACTATCTCTCACACACACAATGCAAAACTAAATCTTGATCCTACACTTGTCACTTATCCAATGCTCCTCCCTAGGCTCAATCCTAAGCCTACATTTGTCACAATTCAATGGCTATATGTGCACTAATCTAAGGTTAACAAGTGGGTGAATCTCCACACTCCAAATGTCAAGAAGTCATGGTGCCAAGTCTCTTCACCTAAATGCCAACAAATGGTTCCATGAGAGTGTGACACTTGTCACACTTTTCAAAAATTGCAAAATGGTCCTTTTTCAAAATATCTTCCAAAATAAATTACAAAAAGGTCCCTAAAACGAAAAATAATTATTTTACATAATTACACTAAAACCCCAAAAGTTATGAATAATTACAATAAAGTATGCATTTATGCCCTTTATAAGAAAAGTAAGCAACTAACATGTTTTTCTACAAAAGTAAGAATACCAATGTCATGGAAATCAAATATCGTGAATGCATGCAAAACTGGAATCAAATCCGGGTACAAAAAGTGAGGTTATGCAAGGAAAAACGATAAACGGGAAAAAGACGAAATAAGGAAAAAACAAAATAGGAAAAAGACGAAAAAAGAAAATTGCCGAAAATGGAAAAGGAGGAAAAAAAAACCGGGTCATTACAACTTAAGCTTAGGTATTCTAAAACCTTTATCTATATTATTTTACCGTTTTGTAATGATTTCATGTTATTTTCATTTTTAAGTACTTATGCCCAAAATAAGCTAACTCAGCCAAATAAGAGCATAATTGAAGCAATTTTGGGATGAATAAAAAAAAGGAACAAAGTAGAGCAAAAGGAAACAAATGGTGGAATTTCAACAATTTCGATCGATCTCAAGAAAAGTTCGATCGATCCAACTTTCATCAATCTCAACACTTCAAGATAGATCCAGGCCATGATGTCATCTTCAAAGATCCCACAAGTTCGATCGATCTAACATCATTCTCTGATCGATCGAACTTTCTTGTCCTTATCCACATGCTAGATCTTATCTAGTTGTACCACCCTACTAACCACTTTTGTTCTTTTCCCAAAAATATCTTCAAAATATCTCAGATTTATTTTTATCCAAAAAGGCGCCGCCATTGAGGATCGATCCAACTTCAATTCGATAGATCTCAACCATGTTCGATCGATCTCACCACAAGTTCGATCAATCAAACTTCCCAAATCTCGAGAAAAATCCAAATTCCAGCTCATTAAAAATTGTCTCATATTCAATCATTAGAGGATTATTGGTGTACGAGCCCAGCTCATTTGGGGTGTTTTTTGACCTACCTATATAAGGAATATAACCCACTTTTACACAGATACACATACATAGAGAAGATAATACTTAGTGAGGAAGTAAATGAGATGAGGAGGCTAGAGACACCATTGGAGACTCTTCATCAACCAAGGAGCAGATTTTTTTCATGGAACTTGCCTTTGAGGGTTGGAGGACATCATCCATGAGTGGCTAGACATCCTCTTGGGACTAGAGTTAGCCCTAAGCATGCTTTCTACTTCTTGATTTATGTATTTTTTTAGGGGATTTGTATTGTGATACATGTTTTGACACTTTTATATATAAAGATCTTGTTTATTCAATGATTTATGTGGTTTAATGCTTCCAATTGATCATTTCATTCTATCCATATGTCTATGTATGCTAGAATAGATGTTCATGTGTTTGTCTCTATTTCTTGTGTTATTGATGCATGCCTATGTGTATTAATGCTATAGATCTAGAGATTGTCAAGATATAGTACTTAATGGCATGTTCTTGTGGTTTATTTGATGGTTCATACTCATTTTTTGATGGATTGTACCTCTCCCTTAGTTTAATTAGTTTAATTTCATGTCATTAGCTTAGTTGTAGTGTAGTTGTTAAATGGGAGGACAATCCATACTTGTTGTTGATGTTCCATACTTATGAAAGCAAGTAACATATATCTTTAACTTTGTGATGTGTTTGGATTGTGAGCTTAAAGAAAGGATTAATGGCTTAATTTAATACGTTGTGCTATTTACCATATTGTTTAGACAATATATACTAAATTTGTCATCCATGCTTGTAAGAACAACCACACACACACACTTTGTTGCAATACATGTTTTTCCCCTCATTAATTATTCATTAAAGGTGTAGAAAAGTATGCTTAGTGGTGATCTCTAAACCCCAAGATCTCTCTCTCTCTTTTATTCTCTCTATTACATTATTGTTTACTTTAGTTTAATTTGCATCTAGTGTAATTCAATCAACCAACCACTATTTTGATCACTCGACCTACTAACCCTAATTTTGATTCCTCAACCTAGTACGACCCTCAATCCCTTGGGACGATCCCTTCTCACTCATATTACATAGTATAGGTGTTAACCGATTTATAAATTTAAATTATGGTGCCCACTTAACACTAATTTCCAAACTCAAAGTGTTGTGCATTATTTTGTGCACACGCTCGGGAAGCCACCAGTATGCTAATTTTTTAGCTCATATTTATTTTAGCGACCTATTTCATCTTAAGGGCATTTTAGGTTTTCCGTGTCGAATTTTATTTTTATTTTTATTCATGGTTGCTTAGAGGATTCAAATTAAAGGGGGGTTGCTTCACAAACTTTTTCAAGAAGAGTTCATCTCTGGCCTTAAAACCATCATTTTCCAAAGTGACACCAAAAACCCTCATTTGAAACTTTAGAGTATGGTTACTATTCATCGCATTTTTTTTTAGAACCGTGTCGACCGTTCTGGGACTTTCGGGAGTCTATGGGGCATATTTTAAGGTTGCATAGTCAATTTAAGTCTTAGGAAAACCACCCGAAGCCCTATTTCCTTCCCTTTGGCAGCAACTCAGCTAATTGGCTGGCGCCCACAGCTTTTGGCGCCCGCAGCTTTTGGCGTCCGCCCGCAATGCAACTCCAAGTTGTGGTTTTGACAGCTTTGACACCCTGTTTTGTAATAGCCATAACTTGCTTATTTTAAGTCCAAATTAGGTGATTCTTGAGCTAAATTCAAGGATTTTGAGTCCGATTTCCAATGGTGCCAACCTCATCTTCAGATTCATTTCCTATTGAGAGATATGACCATTTTAGTGAGACAGTGTCGAGATTCGTTCGAACCGGGTTAAGGTTTTCATGAGATTTCATCTCCAATGACCTTAAAACTTCATATGAGATTACCAAAGGACCTAATTGAGTTATTTTGATTTCATTTGACTTGTTAAAAGTTAAATTTCCTTTTCTTGGGGTAAAATGACCATTTTACCCCTGTCTTCGCTTTCAGTTCGTTTCAGTCTTAGCTTCCGCTTTCGTTTCCTTTTTTTAAGTCTCGTGATTTCTTAGAAGGTCACTCCGATGTCTTAGAGATGGTATTCATCCCTAGAGACCTCTCTCCTTTTCTTGCTCCGCACTTGGGATCCGTCATCGGGTCAGTTTTCGAGTTACTCGTTAACGCACCGGGTTCTGAGATTCTAGGCCATCACATGATGAAAGGTGAGAGTGGTGGAATACGGTAGTAGTGGTGAAAGGCGGTGGTATGTGGTGGTAGAAGGTAGTGTTGGTGGAAAAGAGTGGCTGTGGTGGAAGTTAAATTTTTTAAAAATTTACTTGAGAATGGAATCACCATTTCAGAAATTTAGTTGTGCAATAGATTTTTATTTCGAATAGAACGAACATTTTCACTTTAAATTGCGTATTAAATAAAAGATCCATAGAAATGAGCTTTTCATTTCGTTCTATTCCTGTAAACTATATGGGATGCGCGCGTGTAGAAATAAAAAATAAAAAGAAATAAAAGGGAAATAAAGCTTGGCTTTAAATGCCAACTTTGTACTAAAAATGGTCACCTAATTTGGCAAATGTTGATGTTTACTTGCAAAGTCCGAGAATTCTGAGAATTTCTGACCTACCCCAGCTCATCCTATATTTCAGGTACTCTCTCACTCTCAGTCACACACAACCCACCTCTCTCTCTTGATGGAGAGAGGTTGAGATTCGCTCACAAATCTGTGTCCTCATCTGCCTTGTCTCTCTGGTTCACATCTAAGTTATCTAACCACGTCTCTCTCTCTTTCTCTCTCTATACATATACACACACAAGCGTTAGATCTACTGCAGACCAACCATAGTTGATCGTGTCCTACTCGAACTCTCTTTAATGTGGTGCAGACCAACAATAGTTGATCGTGTCCTACTCGAGCTCTCTTTAATGTGGCTCTGATTCTCTGAAGATTCAATGCGATATACAATTTTGTTTCTATTTTCTTCATATATTCTCACACAAACCCATCACTGACCTGCAATTTTAAATTGCTATTTTTCACTGACTCAATCGCCTTAAGTTTCATATGTTGGAGATGAGAGCAGATTGATTAATCATTTGGTAATCCATAATTGTTCACCAACAACTCTTTTACACACACTCATACCTATATATAGATCTAATTTGTGTTCCATTGTTTTTTCTCTTTCAGATTTCATTGTCTAAGTTTGTTGCTAAAAAGCGATTTGATTTGGTTTTTCATTGCATCTTTGTGGGAGTTAAGCCGTATACTGTAAGTTTCCTAGTGTTTTTGTATTGTTTATATCAAATTTCCTGTGTAATTCATTGTTATCGAATCTGCGAACTTTGTTGTATTGACTGGTGTTTGGATTTAGTGAGTTTAGATTTCATTTCGGTTTCAATCTTTTGGTCATATCAATGAGTTTGGATTTCATTTGGGTTTCAATCTTTGGGCCATATCAATGAGTTTGGATTTCATTTGGGTTTCAATCTTTTGGCCATATCAATGAGTTTGGATTTCATTTTGGGTTTCAATCTTGTGGTCATAGACAGTAGAACAGGGTGTTGCATAAAGATGTGTTTGATTTGATTGATGGACTCTGTTATGTCATTTGATGAATGTATATACTGTGCTCCATTTTGTTTGGTCTTATATCAGAGCTCATAATTTTACTGCTGCACATAAAGTGATTCTTCAGAGCTTTTGGTACTTTTAAAGAATATAATTATGTTTGAATAATAATATCACATCCGTTAAATAAAAGAAAAAGATTTACAAAACTGTATATTAAATTATGTTTTGAATTATTGCAATGTGGCTTTTATCAATTTGATTGTTTGAAAATTAGTGCTCCTCATAGACTGTTTTCAGCAGAAATTTGGATTTCTGGTGTTCTCAGCAATAAATTTAGGGAAAATTATGTTTTGAATTATTGCAATGTGGCTTTTATTAATTTGATTGTTTGAATATTAGTGCTCCACATTGATTGCTTTTAGCAGAAATTTGGATTTCTGGTGTTCTCAGCAATAAATTTAGGGAAAATTATGTTTTGACACAGAATAATAATATGGTTACAGTTAAACTTCATTTGGGTTTAGAAAAAAAACTCATGGATTAAAACATGCAATATTGCACATTCATTGGACATGATCTGCTCCTTCTATACTAGGTTGGTGATGTTTATCCCCTAAGATACAATGATACTCCTGGAGAGGTGGTGTGCAGCTAAGGCTTTCCCATGAATCCCAATTACCCTTACAGTCAGCTGGTTAAAAAATAATCAACGAAGTAATTGATAAGGAATGAGAAAAGATGGAGAACAAAGTTGTATATCGGAGGGAGAGAGAAGAGAAGAGAACACATTATGTTTTCTCTTTTTTCTTTCTCCTGAACTAAGGTTATGGGAATATGGTGATGTGGCTTTAAAGTTCTTCCACGGTTACTCAATTAGAGAACAACTAACACACATGTGGGTTGCAAAATTATATACCTAGCCAATCATATAGAAGTTAGTGCATGCTTGTGAGACCTTTGCTTGTGAGACCTTAGTCAGGATAGGGGAGTCAATCTATGAGCATAGAAGAGCATGCGGCCGCCTCTGTCTAAGTAAAAGGTAAGATACTAAAGTGAAACTTTTTAAATTACTCCAACAATCCTCCATGTGATTTAAAATTTATACCAAATTAGTAAAGATATTTATCATGTAATTGGTTATTGCAATGAACAACGCTTTTTATGTTATTCCAGAGCTGTAGATGTATTTTTGCCTATATTTTTCTATTTCTTTTTGTAATTTAAGCCTATCTTATCATTCAAATTATGATATACTATATGGAAAAGTACAGAAGAAACTGATGCTTGATATGATACTTGAGTTAGCAACTATGCCTGCCACATCTATTCGAAACTAAAAATTTCTTTCCTTTCTGTTATTCACCTCTGCCACCAATCTTGGCCTTGCCACATGAAAGAGAGCAACAAGCATGAATCACATGGACTTCTAGTACGTGTTCATTTTTGGTGAAAGGCCATTCCTGAACTTTGTATGCACTATAAAATCTATCAGAGAAGGAGATTAAAAAAAAAAGGATTGTTACAGTGAAAGACTATATTAATAAGGAAGCCTCTGTATGTGCTTGCTTATTGGGGGTATGGTTTCTATGTGTGTTTGGAAAAGAAAGTTCTTCCACGATCATTTCTTGTTGTCTTTAACCTAGTTGATAACATTTTGCAGTATACTTGTTTCTGCTGTGATAGATCTTCGATTATGGACTAAAGATCAGATGTTTTGAAATTCGTTATTACGTAGTTGATATATATTGTATACATAGTTTTTAAAGGCTAAGGCACAACAAGGCTCAATTTAAGGCACAAATCTGATTGAAATAAGACGCACATGTAATAAAAATGAAATTTAAATACAAGTATAGAATTTTTTTATATGCGACAAAAACTAGTCAGCTGTGAAACAATTGAAATTTTCAGCATATCAATTATATGGATTAGTTGAATTAATATACATATATCTTTGCAGTTTGTGTAAAATTTCAATTAAGTTAATTTACATTTGGAACAATTCAAAATATGCAACCTAAAAAATCGAAAGTTCTAAAAAAATGGAATCTTTTACATATAAACTAATAGAATTAAGTAAATCAATGCACATAAATCATTTCTATCAAATATATGATAAGAATAAACCATGTGAATTTATCAAATATGACCATGATGCGATGTAGATCACTTTTTTTTTTTGGGATTCATGAGCCTGCTAAAATACAAGCATGAAGGCTTGAAGTGAGCTTAGTCAAGCTGAGTATTGGGCTCTTTAAGCTTTATTTGGTGAATTTGGACTGATCTTTAGCTGAACTTGAACGTTATTACACTCAACTATACAGTCTATACCTAAGGTTTGATGAGGTTTAATGGAGTTCTAGATTTTTTTTGTGATAGTCAAACTTGTCCGCTAGCCTAATTCAACATCTCTGTCTATGGAAGAGAGAATGATACATTAGACCTTCTCTCTATTAACCTTCCCTCTTTTTAACTTAAAGCTTCATGTTTCGATTTCATGGGGTAGAAAGTGAAGATTAAATGAAACCTATCATGGACATAAGGACGTTACTCTGAAAAGATTTTGTGGTCTACAAAGAGCTTAAAGCTCTGGAGGTTAGCCATGGTTCCATTATTGCCACAAGTTCACAACCCCCAAGTTGTGCAATCCAAATCCTGAAGTTGGGACACTCGTCTCAAGTTCTCAACTACTTCATGCTGGTTTAGCGAATAATACTAGAACTTAAATAGACGAGGATCACGTTGTTAGACACTTGTTGCAATGAGATGCGTACTTGTTGCAAGACAATAATTGATGAAGCAATTCAGTGGGGCATGGATAGAAGTGGAAACTAAAATATGTGTTTTATATAATACATATATAAGTGAAATGTTAAGTGATTCCACAAATCGTGAGTAGAATGAGTGGAATGTTAGGTGTGTGTGCAAAGATATAGTATATAAATGTAATAAGTGTGGTGAGTGGTCAGTGGAGTGTGGTATTTAAAGTATGCAAGTGTTATGAGTGGAGTGCTTTAAGGAGTGTGTTTAGTGAATGTTTTGTAGAGTGCTTTAAGAAGTGTGTTTCGTGAGGTTGGTGAGTTTATGTAAAACCTATAAATTTTTTTTGATAAGTATTATGTAAAACCTATAAATAGATGTGTATGTGAAGAAGAAACTAATTCTCATTTTGAAATGAAAAGAAGTTAAGTGTTTTATAACTCTTTTGAGTTGTTTTGAGTTGCCGCTCTCCTATCCTTTGAGAATTTATTTTCTTTTTTTCGCTTTTGCTACGTCAGTTGGTATTAGAGACTTGATTTACCCTGGTCTGATGTTAAATGATTATTTCGGTAGCAATCACTTTGTTGATGAAGATCGCAGAGTGCAGGCCCCTTGGGCAGTCATGCATACTCAAGAACAATGATTTAAACAAATCGCTAGTCTTGAGAGTGGTGGCAACCAGGTTTGTAATTCTGTTCGGGTTCGTGTCGGAGATTTTCCTCGCAGTCAACCGAGCATTAGTTATGTCGTGTAAATCCACGTAGGCCTCTAGCCTATGCGGATTATTCCAATGACAAAGAATTTGGAGTCAAAGGAGTTGCGATGGGCCTACGTGATCGATGTAGGCGCGACAACGGTAGATGTCCGGATAATTATGAATTTCAAACGAAACTTGATCTACTCAGTTTTAATGGAAATCTTTAGTTGAGGATTTTTTGGACTGGCTGAATCAAGTTGAACAGTTCTTCGAGTATTTTGACGTACTAGAAGAAAAACAGGTTTCGGTTGTAGCATTCAAGCTTAAGAGAGGTGCTTCTGCCTGGTGGGAGCAAACACAGAGCAACCGCAAGAGACAGGGAAAACAACCTGTCCGAACATGACACAAGATGAAGAAATTATTGTTAGCTAGATTTCTTCCACTAGATGATGAACAAATCCCACATCACCGGTTCCAAAATTGCTCGCAACAGTCTCGGTCTGTTAGTGAGTATATTGATGACTCCGATAGATTAAATGAACGCAATAATATCTTAAAGTCGGTAAGCCAACAAATAGAGTGATATATTGCATAATTGCGGGCGGTGGACCAAAATCAGATTACGATGCCTATGGAAGAAGAACTACCCAAAACTTCTAAAGCGGAGGGGCATTGAAGATACACTATTTCGTTTCTTCTCTCTCTCTCTCTCTCTCTCTCTCTCTCTAGCCTTCTTTCCCCACTTTCCACCCGTCATGGTCTATATATAGGCCATGACCTTTATTGCAGTTAACCAATTACATTGGGCCTATATTCGAAAGCTCTCTTCCTTCTGGGCTGGGTCTTGCAATGGGCTTGACCTTCCTCGGTGGACCTCCCACGTTCGGCCCATTCTAGGGTGCTTTGGCATGGATCCTACTTCAATCATTCGACCCGATCTTGTTCCCGCGAACCATATCCGGCCCATGCCACTTGCCGCATCCTCAACTGCCCCCATAATTACCCCTTATTGATTAGGGAGTAATTATTAGAGGCTGCTAATGATGACCTGACGGCTCGAGGAGATCGTGTGGGAGAATGGACGGTTAGATCTAGGGGTCGGCGCTTTAAGATTCAAAAAGACAACCCATTGCTTTCCTGACTCCTCGGCTCTTGGGCTCATCTCGTCTTTATAAGCTCCATTGATTCTCCATCGATCCTCTTTACCGTCTCCATCTCACCTTTTGCTGTTTGAATCTTCTTTGGCGATCTCTTGCGAAAAATCTTCCTTCCAGTGGCTTTGCAATACTCTCTGCCGTTTTCACTCTCTAAGGTTAGTTTCATTTGCATTTTTGTTTTGGAAGACTTCTTTCTCCTCCCTGTAATCCTCATTCATTCTCACCATGACAGTAGATTTAGACGTTCTTCGCATGAAACTTCACCTTCCTGACGATGTAGAAATTAAAAACTGCCCCTGAGAAGTGAATATTAGAACCGGTGCTGGCCTTCTTCCCGGCGAGGCCCTGTTCTCACTCCTCTATCTCAATCTCCTTAGATTTCCTTTACATCCTTTCTTTTGCTATGTTTTTAACAAGCTAAATCTTTCCCCTTTACAAGTAAACCCCAATTTCCTTAGGATTTTATCTGTTATGCTAATCCTGATTCGTGACAGAGGTCTGGATCTGGACCTCGTAGATCTTTTCCTCTGTTACAAGGTCAGTAAGATCAGAACTGACGAACCGTTTTACCACTTTTTCCCCATTGAGAAGAGGTCCATCTGCACGGACAAGATCAAATCCGAGAAGGGTTGGAGGAAAAACATTATTGGGGTTAGGGGAGCCTGGTTCTCTCCAGCTGCGGAGGATTTCCCTATCCCGAGCGCTTTCGGAGAGTGCTCTGTCTCTTTTTACAAGAAATATAAAAACCATAAGAGTGACTGTCCTTGCGAGATCCGCATTCCTCGTTTTTGTTCTTTCTTGTGCCATTCTTTAGGCATTCCTTGTGATGACTTGAGCTACAGTGTGTGCAGGGATAGGGATAACTACTTGAAGCGGTACGTTCTGACCAACGTTCCCTCTTGCTCGGACCTTCTCACCTCAGATAATCTCCTCGATATCTCAGTCCTCGGCAAGACAATGAGCCAACTCCAGATCCCTTCCTTCGGCAGGAAGAAATCTGCCCCCAGGCCTGCTATCACCCCTGCATCAAATTCCTCACCGGCTTCAGCATCTTTACCTGTCTCCTTAGGTTCCTGCATTTGTTAGTCTGGTGGCCAAAATCAGAATGAAATGCACAGTGTTTAGACTGATCCCTCTGTTTGAGAGGTTGTCTGATTGGTAAAGGAGGTCGGAACTTATCTTTATTTTCTTGGTACAGTCTTGCTAGGGTAACTTTCAATGGAGTAATCAGCTCTTCCTCTCTGGGCCTCTTCTTGGGTTTCCATGAGGAGCGTTGCGGTTGGACCTGTTTTTGCCTGATCTTTGCTTTGGTCTTTTCTTCCGTGGATATAACGGATGTCTTCCGAGCGTTTGCCGCCTCTTCTTCTTCCAAGCGCACAAATCCATCGGCTCTTTCGTTAAGTTCATCCATAGTCCTCGGCGTGTTGACCACCAAGCTTGTGTGGAACGGGGTGCCACGATTCATGGCCAGTATGAATGCTTGAACTGCCGTTGAAGGGTGACATTCAATAACCATGCTCTTGGTAAGGTTAAACCTGGTTAAGAAAGCCTGGAGACGCTCTTCAGCGTGTTGCTTCATTGTGAATAAGCTCGAAATATCTTTCGCTGGACGCTTGTTTCCATAGTATTGGCTTATGAACCGATCGCACAGGCTTCGGAAACTATCCACCGAACCCCTCGGCAGGTTCTTGAACCAATTCAGAGCTGGTCCGGCCAGACTCATAGGAAAGCACTTGCACATCAAAGAATCATTCTCAGTGTTTAGAGCCATTTTCAGCTGGATGTGATACACATGATCGATCGGATCAGTCGTTCCGTCGAACAGAATGAAAACGGGCATGGAAAATTTCCTCGGACTTGGAGCATTCAGAATCTCATTGGTGAACGGTGAATCCACCGTTCGAGCTGCTGAACGAAGTGCTTCATTTTCCCTCTGGAACCCCGCGGCTACTCTCTGGTCTACTGATCTTCTCTCTGAGCTGTGATAGTCGAACGTCGTCATGGAAGGCCGATAGGTCGGATCGAATGATCTATCCTCAACGAAGTCCTTGCGCCATGGAGGCATAGCTTTCTGACGAATCATCTCTGTTGCTTCACCTCGGCTGAGCGTTTCTTGATGTGGATCAAAAGTCATTGCTTCGTTTTGCTTGATCTGTTCACGCCGTGGATCCATATGAGTCGATCCTTCACGATCATCCATACGACGAAGATTTGGCGGCAAACCGTCTCGCCGGATTTCCTTGCGGTGAGGATCTACTAGATTATTTCCAACCTCCTCACCGTGATGTGCTGCATCGGTACGTGCACCTTCTTCTCCTACCGGGAGTGGTCGTGGAATTACTTGAGCTTCCTGACGCTGCATTTCATTCCTTAGATCCGCATTTTCTCTCCGGAGAGCTTCGATCATGTTCATCAACTCATCAAGTTTCACTTGCTGGACGTTCTCAACCGTATTAGAGTTGTCACCCCCTATCATGATTCCGGATCGAAGCAAAGGCATGAATTGCGAACTTCGAAACAGATCTAAGCGTTACCGATGCAAACTCCGCTAGATCTGGGCTTAACTTCACCGAATCGTGATCACTGTTTGCTAGATCTGAACTTTTCTAGCTTCAAACTCGTCGGATCTGACTGCAACTGAGCAAATCACAATTGCGTCATTCCAAAGCAAATGCCTCAGAATCCTCAATAAGCAAGAATTCTCTCGGAACAAACTACAATCTCACTGATCTGGATTCAACTTTCAGAAATCACACTGCGTATTCACAAACTCGATTGAACTAATATGGTATTGATCGGGCTCAAATTGATCTTCGTCCTCGATTCCCACAGACGGCGCCAATTGAAGATACACTATTTCGTTTCTTCTCTCTCTCTAGCCTTCTTTCCCCACTTTCCACCTGTCATCGTCTATATATAGGCCATGCCTTTATTGCAGTTAACCAATTACATTGGGCCTATATTCGAAAGCTCTCTTCCTTCTGGGCTGGGTCTTGCAATGGGCTTGACCTTCCTCGGTGGACCTCCCACGTTCGGCCCATTCCAGGGTGCTTTGGCATGGATCCTACTTCAATCATTCGACCCGATCTTGTTCCCGCGAACCATATCCGGCCCATGCCACTTGCCGCATCCTCAGGCATTCTTTTCTTGCTGGTGGCAAAGCACAATTGGTGGAGGCAGTGGTGATGAAATCCAGCGAAATGGTGGAGCTCGTTGTTGAGAGCAAAGAGCCTGAAGGAGAGACACTCGTTCCGAATCTGGTACAACCATTATCAGTAAAATCTCAAAAATTGGCTGTGGAAGAATTGCCGGGTGATTTGATACCAATACGGGATAGTCAAAATCACAAAGATTTGGTTCCTAATGCGAGTGTACTAGATCTGCAACATCGCTTCATTAGTCTAGTTGAGAATGAAGAGTTACAGAGGAAAATTGAGGAGTTGGTTCCTATGCCTCGTTTGGATGTGATGGTAGATATGGTGGTTGGTTCCAAAAGTTTTCCACAAAGTAATTGGAGTAACTTTTATCAGATTTGTATTCGACTCGAAGATATGTGGAAGACTTCTTTCAAAACAGAGGAGGGACATGCCTATGTTGTTGACATTCCTGATGGAATGGCTATTTCTCCTACCTTAGATGTTGCTGATTTGTTCGAGAATCATCCTTTGGATGAGCCATTTCATTTGCGAGTAAACTCGAGGACGAGTTTTTTTGAAGTAGAGGGGACTGATGCAGGACAATAATTGATGGAACACTTCAGTGGGGCATGAATAGAAGTGGAAACTAAAATATTTGTTTTATATAATACATATATAAGTGGAATGTTAGGTGATTCCACAAACCGTGAGTAGAATGAGTGGAATGTTAAGTGTGTGTACAAAGATACTACCTCCGTCCCACAAAAGATGTTGTGTTTGGGGATTTGTGAGTCACGGTTCCCCAAACGCGACATCTTTTGTGGGATAGATGGAGTAGTATATAAATGTAACAAGTGTGGTGAGTGGTCAGTGGAGTGTGGTATTTAAAGTATGCAAGTGTGATGAGTGGAGTGCTTTAAAGAGTGTGTTTAGTGAATATATTGTGGAGTGCTTTAAGGAATGTGTTTGGTGAGGTTGGTGAGTTTATGGAAAACCTATAAATAGATGTGTATGTGAAGAAGAAACTAATTCCCATTTTGAAATGAAAAGAAGTTTAGTGTTTTATAACTTTTTTGAGTTGTTTTGAGCTGTGGCTCTCCTATCCTTTGAGAATTTATTTTCTCTTTTCCGCTTCCGCTACATCAGTTGGTATCACAGACTTGATTTACCCTGGTCTGATGTTAAATGATTATTTCAGTGGCAACCACTTTGTTGACGAAGATCACAGAGTGCAGGCCCTTGGGCAGCTATGCATACTCAAGAACAACGATTTAGACAAATCGCTAGTCTTGAGAGTGGTGGCAATCAGGTTCGTGATTTGTTCGGATTTGTGCCGGAGATTTTCCTCACAGTCAACCGAGCATTGGTTATGGTCCTGTAAATCCACGTAGGCCTCCAGCCTATGCGGGTTATTCCAATAACAAAGAATTCGGAGTCAAAGGAGTTGCGATGGGCCTACATGATCTATGTAGGCGCGACAACCGTAGATGTCCGGATGATCATGAATTTCAAACGAAACTTGATCTACTCAGTTTTAATGGAAATCTTTATGTTGAGGATTTCTTGGACTGGCTGAATCAAGTTGAACAGTTCTTCGAGTATTTTGACATACCGGAAGAAAAATAGGTTTCGTTTGTAGCATTCAAGCTGAAGAGAGGTGCTTCTGCCTGGTGGGAGCAAACACAGAGCAACCGCAGGAGAGAGGGAAAACAACCTGTCCGAACATGGCACAAGATGAAGAAATTATTACTGGCTAGATTTCTTCCACCAGATGATGAACAAATCCCGCATCACCGGTTCCAAAATTGCTCGCAGCAGTGTCGGTCTGTTAGTGAGTATATTGATGACTCTGACAGATTGAATGAATGCAATAATATCTTAAAGTCGGTAAGCCAACAAATAGAGCGATATATTGTAGAATTGCGGGTAGTGGACCAAAATCAGATTATGATGCATATGGAAGAAAAATTACCCAAAATTTCTAAAGCGGAGGGGCATTCTTTTCTTGCTGGTGGCAAAGCACAATTGGTTGAGGCAGTGATGACGAAATCCAGCGAAATGGTGGAGCTCGTTGTTGAGAGCAAAAGCCTGAAGGAGAGACACTCGTTCGTTCCCAATCTGGTACAACCAATATCAACAAAATCTCAAGAATTGGCTATGGAAGAATTGCCGGGTGATTTGATACCAATACGGGATAGTCAAAATCACAAAGATTTGGTTCCTAACGCGAGTGTACTAGATCTGCAACATCACTTCATTAGTCTAGTTGAGAATGAAGAGTTGCAAAGGAAAATTGAGGAGTTGGTTCTTATGCCTCGTTTAGATGTGATGGTAGATATGGTGGTTGGTTCCAAAAGTTTTCCACAAAGTAATTGGAGTAACTTTTATCAGATTTGTATTCGACTCGAAGATATGTGGAAAACTTCTTTCAAAACGGAGGAGGGACATGCCTATGTTGTTGACCTTCTTGATGGAATGGCTATTTCTCCTACCTTAGATGTTACTGATTTGTTTAAGAATCATCCTTTGGATGAGCCACTTCATTTGCGAGTAAACTAATTCCCATTTTGAAATGAAAATAAGTTGTTCTTGAGTATGCACTCTCTTAAGCTTGAATGCTACAAGTGAAACCTGTTTTTCTTCTGGTACGTCAAAATACTCGAAGAACTGTTCAACTTGATTCAGCTAGTCCAAGAAATCCTCAGCATAAAGATTTCCATTAAAACTGAGTAATCAAGTTTCGTTTGAAATTCATGATTATCCGGACATCTACGTTTGTTGCGCCTACATCGATCACGTAGGCCCATCGCAACTCCTTTGACTCCGAATTCTTTGTCATTGGAATAATCCGCATAGACTGGAGGCTTACGTGGATTTACAGGACCATAACCAATGCTCGGTTGACCACGAGGAAAATCTTTGGCACGAACCCAAACAGAATTACGAACCTGGTTGCCACCACTCTCAAGACTAGCGATTTGTCTAAATCGTTGTTCTTGAGTATGCATGGCTGCCCAAGGGGCCTGTACTCTGTGATCTTCATCAACAAAGTTGTTCTACCGAAATAATCATTTAACATCAGACCAGGGTAAATCAAGTCTCTGATACTAACTGACATAGCGGAAAGGAGAAAATAAATTCTCAAATGATAGGAGAGCCGCAACTCAAAAGAGTTATAAAACGCTTGACTTCTTTTCATTTCAAAATGGGAATTAGTTTCTTCTTCACATCCACAAAACATTCACTAAACACACTCCTTAAAGCACTCCACTCATCACACTTGCATACTTTAAATATTGTACTCCACTGACCACTCACCACACTTATTACATTTATATACTATATCTTTGCACACACACCTAACATTCCACTCATTCTACTCACGGTTTGTGGAATCGTCTAACATTCCGCTTATATTTGTATTATATAAGACACATATTTTAGTTTCCACTTCTATTCATGCCCCACTGAAGTATTCCATGAATTATTGTCTTGCATCATTACTCCTGGAGCTTCTTCCTGAAGGGAGACACAAGACCTTATTTGAACTCAGCGAGGAAGACGCAAAGCGGTCTTCCTCGTTGAGTTTCGTAAACATGGCTTCTTCATTGTTGGGATTGTCAAATGCGTGTTTTTTTCATGGAAGATAGGCTCCCATAGGAGATTGGACTTCAAATGTGCTTTCAAGTGCGTTTGAAGGATGAGTCTGTTGCGCATGACAATGTGCAAACATGGATGAGCTAATAGAGTTCGAGGCCAGAGGGGCAGCAAGTGCGAGTGCGATAACGGCAGCTTGAAATCATCAAAATCTAATTTCTTTGCCTTTTCCTTTTAGAGAAGGAGCTTCTTTAGAGTGTTTGTTGTGTATAACTATTTCGTTATATCTTATTTATATGTATCTTTTTTCTTTTTCTCAATTTCATTATTACAAGTTACATATGCAAATAATCCACAAAATGTGTTGAATGTGATGTCAACCGTGTGGAGCTGAACTTAGTTATTGCACAAATCCAAAGAATATAGTTTTAGATTACTATAAATGAAATATAGGGTTGAAAGAGAATTTCTGCTCTGGGATGGAAGATTCTAGATGCCCAATGGTATTTGAAAGTGGTAAATGTTGAACGTTTGATTAAGGAGAGAAATTTGGGATTCAGAAGTTTGAGTGTGCAAATCTTCATAATTGAGTTTGTGGGTGAACCTGTTCTCGATTTGACAATTCATGCTCCAGTCACCACATTGGCACCCATACAAGAAAATTTGTATAACTCAGGACAGAACGTGCTGTCAATGGACTACCCCATTTGGCCAAAGCCAAATTATGTGTGGTTTTAGAGCATAATGTGTGGACACCCTTCCTTGCATAATGTGTGGTTTTAGAGCTTGATGCCAAATTGGTGCCTTGGTGAATTTGGTTATATATGAAGAAGTCATTTTGAGATCTAAGCAAGAAAGGAATTCTAACAACAGCTTCTAGATTGTTATTGCACGTGGAATCAATCAATCTGCTTCGTTTAATCATGATAATTGCACTAGTGAGTTGTGATGGACTACATGATTCAGAATCATATGAGTCAACTGCCACAAAGAAAGCAAAGCTTGGCTTGATGGTCTTCAAGTCCAGGTGGAGATTGTTAGACAATCCGTCTGCAATTGTGTTTGATTTTAGAGTTGCTTATGTGTGAAAGTATTTATTGGTTGTTTTACTTGGATCATTAAAAATGTATCTTTATTCAACAAGAAACATGGATTAGGATTATTGATAGATTTCTACACTATTGATTGGGACTTATGATAGTGATGTTGTATCATGAGATAAACTACTCACGAGAGAGCTGGGTATGTAAAATCTCTTATATATGTAAGGATGTGACTGAGGGAAGAAAGAACATTGAGGAGTAGGGAGGAAGGAAGTACAGCTTTTGGACTTGAGACATCAGGGGCGAGCAGAGGTAGATATTGCTTCAAGGTTTGGATTCCCTTTAGTGAAGAAACCTGGTCATTTCAGGGTTTAACTATCAGTGTTGGTTTGATTGTGTGTTCTATATCTATTGTAATTACTATACTCTATGTTGTGAATTATTTCTTTTCATCTGTAAACATAGGTAGGATTTCATCAAACCACGTTGAATATTGTTCCTCTTGTTATTTTTATCATTTGTGGTCAAATATTGACGTCAACATGCTTCTTGGCAAGATAAGTGGTACCAAAACTTGGTACCCAACATCTGAAGTCCTGATTATAGATGTCTATTAGGCTATTACAACCCCAAGAATTCAATTTGATTCCTCCAATGACAAAGATAAATATTTTTCTTTATGAATGTATGTTGCAAACTGAGAGCTTTTCTTCTTCTGCCTTTTTTTTTTTTTTTTTTTTTTTTGTGTTTTAAGAATTGCAGATGGCTGACATAGCGAAGGACCTGACTTCTGGTACCGTTGGAGGAGCAGCGCAGTTGATAGTTGGACACCCTTTTGATACCATCAAGGTCAAGCTCCAAAGCCAGCCTACTCCTCTCCCTGGTCAACCTCCCAAATATGCAGGTGCAATGGATGCCGTCAGACAAACATTAGCTGCGGAAGGACCAAGGGGTCTTTACAAAGGAATGGGTGCCCCGCTTGCCACTGTGGCAGTCTTCAATGCAGTCCTCTTCACAGTTAGGGGACAGATGGAGGCATTGTTAAGGTCCCAACCTGGTGTCCCCCTTACAGTGAACCAGCAGATGGTTGCCGGGGCTGGGGCTGGAGTTGCCGTGTCCTTTCTGGCTTGTCCAACTGAATTGATCAAATGCAGGTCAGTTTTATGGTGCTTTTTTTTTTCCGTTGCCTTTATTACGTAATGTTGCCTTTATTACGTAATCTTCCGGATGTCTCAGGACCTGACTGCATTATCAAGCTTACATAACCTAGTTGTATTGAGCATCAGCTAGTAATTCTGTAAATGAAAATTGAATATGAAATTTCTGAATGATCTGGATTAATTCCAAAATGAAACAATGATAATATAAATGCTTTTTCGCCCCTCATCCAAATTAGTTTTCAATGTTTCCAAAACTTGTTTGTATTACTGTCTTCAGTGGTTTCTGTATTCCAAAAGAACTTTTTATTGCTTATATTTCCTGGGTATGCAAATTTTTACTGTTTTTTATTGATAAAGAAATTGGCAGAACCTTAATATTTCCATATTTAGTGTTCATCATTTTTATGTGAAATCAGATTGCAAGCCCAGAGTGCATTGGCAGATACTGGCTCTGCTGGTGTGGCAGTGAAGTATGGAGGGCCAATGGATGTGGCAAGGCATGTTATACGATCAGCAGGTATGGGTGGTCTCTTTAAGGGTTTGGTTCCAACCTTGGCACGTGAAGTACCAGGAAATGCTGCAATGTTTGGTGTCTACGAAGCCCTAAAGCAGTACCTGGCAGGAGGCCAAGACACTTCCGGGTTAGGAAGAGGTTCTCTAATTGTTGCCGGAGGTTTGGCTGGAGCTTCCTTCTGGGTTTCTGTCTACCCAACTGATGTTGTCAAGAGTGTAATTCAGGTTGATGACTACAAAAATCCCAAGTTCTCTGGCTCCATCGATGCTTTTAGAAAGATCATGGCCTCGGAGGGAGTCAAGGGACTGTACAAAGGTTTTGGACCTGCCATGGCCCGAAGTGTTCCAGCAAATGCCGCATGCTTCTTGGCGTATGAGATGACAAGGTCTAGTTTGGGATGATTGTTTATTCGTCACTGGCCAAAAATTTTGGTGGATGTAATTCTTCAGATGTTGAAGTGCACAGGGGTTGAAGCCCTAATGAAGGGAAGTGCTTATAAACTACCCTGGAAATGGAAGTAACCTTCCATGTATTGACCTTTGTTATTTTTCAAAGAAATTCAGATTGCGATTGTACGGTTTGTACCAGCACTGATGCATCAAAGATCATAAAAATTTCTCAATTTTACTTTCTTCTCTTTGCCGGTCTTGAAATCTTGGTCAGGACTGTAATAATTTTGAAGTAAGATGAGCGGTTTTGACTCAGAAACTTGAATTCTTAATGATCGTGCTTAACGATGCGATCCAAAAACTTATCCTATTAAGTCATACAAATGCCAAACCTTAAATGCCCAAAACCCTCCCCAGCTGGATCCGACGTGGGACAAGAATTTATGACACTCAACTATGGAAATCGGACTACCCAAAAGTGAGAATAAATACAATACACACGAAATATCTAATGCATGTACAAGGAATACAAACCGTATAATCTTCGCCCACTTTTGTTCTTCCTTCTCTGTTTCTTTTGGTTCCTTCCGAAGGTGCTGACAAACCATTCATGATAGCTTTGGGTCAGAATGTGCCAAACGATCAGCCCAACTACTATAACCCACCTCCATAACCCATGCGATCAGCCCAACTACTATAACCCACCTCCATAACCCATGCATACGACAAGCCAATCACTTCTGTCAACTGGAAACCATGAATGCTCGTCGCCTTGCTTGAATTTTGAAGGTGGTGGTAGTGGTGATGCTTCCAACTCGCCGCATTTCTTCGACAAAGGGTCTCCACACAATCCGGAATTCACCTCATACGAACTGTTTGGAAATGTATCAAACTGCCTTCCTCGCGGAATAGGACCTGTGAGATGATTATGAGACACGTCGAAAATTGCAAGAAATGTGAGTTCGGTTAGCTGCCGAGGTATCTCTCCTGAGAGCTCGGTTTGAGAAGGTCCAACAATTCAAGTTGTGTTAGATTCCCCAAGGAAGATGGGGGGATGTAGCCAACACGATTGTTGTTGGAAAGGTTGAGAACGTGAAGCCCCTTGAGGATCCCAATAGATTCTGAAATCTTTCCTCGGAATTGGTTACTTGAGAGAGCAATGACAGTCAAGACATTCAAGATCTTCAGATATATTGTCTGCACACCTTTGTTTGTTATGGTGATTGAGTAATTGTAATTCTCAAGCCAACCGAATTTAGAAACCAGCTCTTGGCTTGCTCGCAAATATGACTGATTGTTGTCCACAGCCATCATGGATCTCCAGGTTCGGAAGAAATTTGAAGGCAACTCGCCTTTAAAACCGTTATGAGAAAGGTCAATGAAGCGCAACGTGGGAAAAGAAAAGCTAGATTCAAGGTGCCTTATTGCACCATGGAATTTATTGAAGCGCAGAATGAGAACCTTCAATTCAGAAAGAGTTCCTAGCCAAAAGGGAAAAATGTCATTTATCTGATTGTCCGCGAGATTTAGACTCTCTAAAAATGAGCAGTTCACCAAATATCTTGGCACCATCCCGTGCAGTTGGTTTTCACTCAAATCGATCTTCTTTAGTTTGCTTCCTGTTTTGTACATTTGAGGAATGGCCGCGCAGATTGTTGTTTCAGAGATTTAATATTGACAGAGAATCAGTGGAGCCAGGATTTCAAGTGGGGGTACACTGCAAAAAAATAATAATAATAATACGGAGTATATATATATATATATATATATATAACAACTATAAAGTTTAAAAAGACAAAGAAAAAGAAAATTATTAAAATATAAAAGGAAAATAAAAATGAAAAAACTTTAATAAGAAATAGTTAAAAAGTTTCAATTGAGGAAGAAAATTTTGACTTTTTCTATTAAGGAAATTTAAGGAATGTGAAGAGTAAAAGAGAAAATAAAGAAAAAATAAGAATATAATTTTAGGAATTACAAATTTGAGGGGAGCACTATATAAATTTTGTCATATATATAGAAATTTTTTAAAAAAATTACCACATATATTATAGGTTGCTGGCCAATTCAGGGGGGCACGTGCCCCCTAGGCCTTCATTGACTCCGTCCCTGAGTGGAGCTTGCCAAGCATTGGGGAATAATGCCAGTCAAGTAGTTGGATGATAAATCAAGGGCATAAAGAAAACTCATATTGCACATCAGTAGTGGAATCTCTCCTTTCAGTTTGTTGTCTGAGACATTTTAAAGATTAATCGAAAAGGGTGGAGTCGGAAGTGATCCTTGCAGCATGTTAGAAGAAAGGTCTAAAATGTGCAGTCGACGCCATGGAAGGACTAAAGGAGGTTGGTCAAAGCTGGTTAGAAAGTTATGAGAAAGGTCCATAACCAACAGAGTCTCTGCACTCATGTTCCATATCCATTTAGGCACGACGCCTTGAATTCTGTTGTGAGTAAGGGCTAGTAACTGCAACTCATCTTGACTGCTCAAGAAATATGGAAACTCCGTTAAGTTGCACAAGCCCAAACCTAGGAGCTTAAACTTCGGAATTAGTGTGGCATTGCCATTGATAGAGCTAGAGGTGAGTAATGTTAGCTGGTTATACGCTAGCCAAAGAGTGGTAAGATTTTCTAGGGTAAGAAATAAGTCTAGCTTTCACTATTCCGCTCAAGTTGATAAAAGCAACTAAAAAGGCTTTGAGTTGCGTAAGATTACCAATTGAAGACGGTATTGACCATGAGAAGTTGTATTCTGAGATGTCCATTTCATTCAACGAGTTGAGATTACTGATTGAATTTGGTAGCTCCCCAGAAAAGCTTGTGCCTGCTAGTTTCAATACCACAAGTGGACGACTCCCATGGAACTCAGGCAAATAACCGGTGAGCTCTTGATTGTACCGATCGAACACAAAGCACCTGTAGGTTTGGTAGCTTAAAAATGCCTGCTGGAAATTGGCCGAGTAATCCACATTGTTTGAGGGCTAGAGACGTTAAAGAAGTAAAATTTGCCAAAATCTTAGGTATTACAGAAGAAACGTTCACATAACTGAGGCAAAGTTCTTTCAAGTCCGTCAAGTTCTGCACGAGACTTGCTAGACCAGGCTTATGGAGCTTCAATAATGGATTCAGAGAGAGTTCGAGGGAAACCAATTTGTTTAGTTGTGAAATCTCTAATGGAATTTGACCAGCAAATGAGGACGATGAGAGATTGAGATAAGTTAACCTTGAAAGATGTCCAACAGCAGATGGGATTTGAGAGTAATTGAAGTGATTGTCTACGAGGCTGAAGCCTCCAAAGATAAACAAGTTGGAAGAGGGTGCTGCTTGAATTGATAGAACCATAAAGAAGGGACGTGTTCCAGATTCCACTTGCTTGGTTACTTGTATATTTTATATTACATCATATGTAATACTGAATTAAATTTTTAATATTTAGTCGAAAATTGTTGATTGATTGAATATACAATATATAAGTAAGATTCGTATTTCTTTATTTATGTTGCCAATAAACCATGTTCGGCCGGGCCGAGTAGCACTACTTCTTTGGAAAACAGTGCTCCCCAGTCCTCTTATCATTGAAATACATAGGCCCATGAAACTAAGAAGTGAGAACGGTCTCGAGATTTATTATGATTTTGTCGCCAATGTGGACTGTCTTCAAATGGCACATGAGTTTTATTTGGTCAAATACACTCAATACTAAATTGAAGAGATTGGAGATTGGTTTTCATTTAAGTTTGCGTCTAGTTCGTAGAATAGATATTTGGTATGTTGGGTGTACGGTATATCTGCTCATTTGAATCGTACGTGCACAACACGTATAGTTTGGATGAGCCTGGTGTACAGTACGTTGGGCGCACCCAATACTTCTATTGGCGGGGTATTACATATCACCATTATCTCTGACTATTAAATACTTTTTCAGAGTTTCATTTTAAAAATATTTGGACTTTATTATAGGACCGAGGTAGGGGAATTATTAATTTTCTTTCATGTTTTAATTAAAATGCATGAATCATTTTTGTAAAATAGTGTTTTCAAGAAAAATATCTTTAATTATATATCATTCTCCATTGAGACTTGCGAGTCTCACTGAGAAGGAAGATAAACTAAAATATTATGAGACTGTCAGTAATATATATATATATATATATATATATATTGCCCAATACTTTTAACTAAATGACAAATTTTATAACTATTTGTATAAGTTAGTAAAGTAATAATCTTATTTAGTTTAAACTTGATACTCTGCTGGGTTAAAAATCACTTCTTTTTTGTTCTTTTTTCTTTCTTTTTTTTTTTCTCTAATTTTTATGTAAGTTCTAGGTAATAATAATGATATATCTTTTCCAAAGTGGAACCAAAAGTCCTGAATTTTTTTTCTTCCAAAAATTATATTTTTGAAAAATTGAAACAATTGATGAAATACATCTCTTTTTAAACTGTTGTTTCTTTATATATACTTTTATACTGTTCTAATAACTTAGATTATATTTATTATTTTATTATGTTGAAATAAAATGAGAAATACATCCTAGTCCAATTTTGTTTCAAGAACATTTGTATGTTTCAAAGAAAATTTTCCCTCAAAAATTAAATCTACCATTATTTTATTTGAGTTAATAATAAAATATTTAACATAAGCACAACTTGAGACACAGGTCTAATTCATAAATTAAAATCAAGATGGAAATGAACCAATCAACTACAATTGCCGCCAAAAGATAATAGCAAGTCTAAACCACACTCACTGGGAGATAAAGTAAAATTTCAAGTAGGAGTAAACATAGGTTACTGTTGTTTACCAAAAGAAAAGGTTTCAACACTGACCTTACATAAGCAGCAGTAGATGTGCCAAAAAAAAAAAAAAGGCTCTTTTTCACAGATGATATGTTGATACCTATTCTTCGATTAAACAGGGAACCACAGAATTATAATGCTCACCAAGACCAAATGCATGCCTGTGGTATGATAACATGATACTCGGATTCGATGAACCCGTCCCATTGTCAGATTTGTACTCCTTGCCCATCTCCACGTCCGGGAAGGATCCTGAAAATATCATGATATGCTTCTTCAGGCAGTGAGTTAAAGCACCGAGCTCCAGTTGCCCTCCCCACGCTGCAGTTGACTCCACTTCTCTACAGTAATTCTCAAACCTCTCGGCAACAGAATGCTCAGAATCTCCGTCTGTTGCATTCTCTGACAAGAAAAAAGGTATAAAATCGGATGCATGTTTCCTCATATGAGCAGCCACCATTTCTCGTAATTCTTGGAAAGTGTAAGGAGAGGAACCTCCAGATAGGAGGCCCAGCTGATCCTCAACAGCACGATAGAGGCAGTGCCCATCTGGCTTTATCTCGTTGATAGTCAATCCAAGAGGTTCAAATTTCTTTTCCAATTTTTCATTTTCAATCATTCGATCACTGACGATGTTGGTCTGTTCTTCCTGTATTCTTTGCTCTCTCGCTGCTTCTTCTTGAGCTCTTCTCTCACGCCTCTTCACACTCTTACTGGGCTTTGAATGGTCAGCCTGACTGGAAACAGAAACCCCCGCAATGGCCTTCACCAAACTGTCAAGGTTGCCTTTCTCCTTTCCATTGCTGCTGCTATAACCCAAGGAAGCAAGTTCCTCCGCATGTTTTTCTTTGAGTTTTGCAGAAAGTTTAGAGACCTCTTCTTCGACCTGCTTCTTCTTGGCTTTCTGTTCAGCCTTGCTCCCTTTAGCTGCTGCCTTTTTCATTGCAACTTCCTTGTTCTGCAGCTGGGAAATCTCGTTCCTGCAAATGCATTAACATCACCATGAATTGAATCATAGAACTCAAATCTTCCAACACTTTGAAGCATGGACGGACCTAATGCATTGGCAATGGGGGGTTTAAATTTTGAATCTACTCTTTTTCTGAACAATTCTTCTAAATGGATTTTAGAATTCACTATACAAAATATATTTTTACTATATTTTGGTCATTATGGTTACACCTCCTCATAACAACATCGACTCATTTAGAGATACCTTGTAATGTGCAATACATGAAAAGATTAACTTTCATGGAGTGACAAGCCTCCTCTCCCTCCCAAATCCCAGAAAAGAAAATATAAAATATATATAGCAAGACGAACTCCACAAAGATTTTGAAAGGAGCACAGACAAGAAATCAATACATCACCTGTGCCTAGACAGCATCTCGTCACGAGTTTCTTGTTTCTCCTGTGGCATTCCTCCTCTAACATCTTCAGAGTTCTTGTCCTCCACTTCTTGGGTATCCTCCATTTAGAAACCCTGTAAATGAGGAGGAAAATAAGGCAGGGATCAGAATCGGTCTAGGTTTTCCAATGCAGATAAACTAAAGACTTATAGTGTGTAAAAATAAAAATAAAAACCTTGGCTGCATGTACAATTCACTCACGTCAGTTCTAAATCAGTTAAGTCCTATATCGGACTGAGACTCCAGATTCCATAATAATATTCCGTCCATCAGTTTTTTTGTTAATTACGAAAAGTATGCTCAATCTTTCTAAGCGATCTGAAATTTACTATCCATTTAGTTGCATTCAGATATATTAAATATATATATATATATACGTATATGTATGTACAAACACTAAATTCTCGTTGATTCCTAGTGCTCTGGCCTTCAGTTTGTCTGCAAGCAGCAACACTATCCATGCAGATTCCAAGAGCATCACAGTAATGATGAAATATATATATATATATATGTATATGTATGTACAAACACTAAATTCTCGTTGATTCCTAGTGCTCTGGCCTTCAGTTTGTCTGCAAGCAGCAACACTATCCATGCAGATTCCAAGAGCATCACAGTAATGATGAAATAATTTTAACAAACAAATGATGGCAATAATGCTACTAAACTTTTGGGAGCATGTCAAGGACCAACATGACCTTGTAACAACACGTTCCCATTTAACCATTTTCTAATTCATATAATGATGCCAACACCCGAGTAATAATTATTGGATATTCCACAATTTGTCATGTTCAACAAAAGTCCTCCAAAACACCACAAAAGTGGTTTAATAAGGTAAAAGATGATTGGTTAAATGTGAAGTTAAATTGTCAAACCAAAAAGAGACAGGTATATCTCAGAAAGAAAAAACCACGTATATCCTAAAACTAACAAGAAGTCACATCAATACTGAATCATTAGAGCTTCTTAAGCACACAATAGCTGAATTCTAATTCAAAAGCATTAAATGGAGTTCTCAGCCGATGTTAGAGTTTCAAAGTTTTCCCAAAGTACAAGTCAAAGCAAGGTTGTTAGGATTGGAATTCTACATAGGATCGATGGGGGACAGCGTGCTTGCACGTGCCTCTCCATACCAGGCCAGAATTTTCTTTACTCTATTTTCATTATACGTTTATTTGTTATTTTATTTTTATGATGTCTATTACTCCTATTTAATCATTGTACGCATTTGTATTATTTGTGAACTTTTCACATTCAGGGTAATTTTCAATTTTCATCTCAATGTGTAGAATTAATTTTAACTACTCAAAGTTGTATAAAAGTGTAAATCCTGAAAAATATCCGCAGCAGTCTAAAGTCTTTGTATAATATTGTGTTGGATCATTTAAAATTCAATTGTAAAATTTAGGTCACGGGTAGAATCCTTTATGCATCACTATAAATTATCCATCCACATCTTTACCATATATTCATCTTCTATACTTTATCCTGCACAACCATTGGATTTTCTTTTGGGACTCTACAGGTTGCATGAAACGTATAAGATGCGACCTATTTCTATTTTCTAACAAATTTAATGTATACAACATACACACGCACACACATATATCAAAAGGTCTCGTTACTTTGATTAACATGATAATTAGAGTTTATTACACAATCAAATATATTATTATTATTATATAGTGGTATAACAATGTGAATAGATAAGCTGGTTTAGATTTGACTATGGGTCAATTAACACTGTTTTGACCAAATATAACTGTTGAATAACACCTTTTAGGGAAGGGGGTGGGACCTAGATAAAAAAGTTTTTGAGTTTCTATCCATCACTAATAAATGCATTATAAATCTCATGCTTCAATGCATGTTCAAATTATTTTATGTTAGCCCTTATATATATTATACCCTAGAAAACACATCTAGGTTCTCTAATAAAAAAAAAATATTTTGTATCAGGGGTTGAGGAGAGAACAAGGGATGAAAACTGATAATGGAGATGAGGAAGAAATTTAATGTGGTTTGGGACAAAGACAATCATCCACGGAGCCAAGAGAACTGTGAAGCCTTGCGAAAATGGGAGTACTTCTAGACTGCAACACATGATCATGTTGAGACCTCCAAGGTCGACTATTAGTAACGAGAAGAGTTCAAATTCTTGCTTTGAGTGCCAAAGGGCAGACTGCAAACATCGAAGAGAACACAAGCAGTAGAGAGAGAAGATTCTATAGCTGTTCTCAATCGAAAGATGATTATTTTTCATGGCTTCTAGTAGCACAATAAGATAAGTAATCATATTATTTCTACTTAGTTTCTACTTATGGTAGGTAGCAAGTTTATCAGGACCAGGATCCTACGTAGGATCGATAGGGGCTCCGTAGGATCACATTGAGAATCATAAGATTCTACAAACTAGTAGGAAAATAACTCAAGCTAACTTTCTAAAAAAAAAATCTCCAAAATAAATAAAGACTAAACCCAAAACACACACACACACACACACACACACACACACATATACAGGACTGGTGAATTGCCCCTGGTGTGCAAGGAGCAACATACGCGACTTCAATTTCAACCGTTGGACGAAATTTAAAACCACCAATAAAGTTGTTTTCTGGATTTTAGGGTGTCCAAAACCACCTCAATTTAAATAGCGTAGGTGTTTGAAACAAAAAGGACTCCTTACAAATAGGATGCAGTAGAAAAAATGCTATAACCGTTTGGACGCTGGAGTCTGGAGAAAGAATAATCCTTCTTCCATAAGAAAAATAAAGATGTTATACATGGTAAACTAAACTGCCTTTAACTCTATCATTGGCACCTGTCAAATGGTAGAAAGCACACTATACTATTTAGGATGAGCCAATGTTAGCATGAACTATAGATATGAACCCTTCATCAAAATATACTTCGGTTAGCTAATGTATAACTCCCTTCTTTTGATTGACCATTCACAAAAGTTGTCTACAAGCCATAAAATAATTAAGTAGAGAAGAATGTTATTTGTTGTTTACAAAATTTATCTAGTAGAACTAGAAGAGAATGCTATCTTTCGTACAAAAATATCCTGTAGAACAAGAAGAGACACAAAAGCGAGAAATACAAAACATTAAGTTTGCTGTATATAACAATTTTTTTTTCCCTTATGGAAGAAGGACTCTTCTCTCTCCAAAGGCTTATAATCATTTTTCTAGGAGTCATTTTTGGTCATCTAAGCTATTTGAATTAAGGTGGCTTCGGACACCCTAAAAACCAGAAAACAACTCTATTGGTCGTTTTCAATTTCATCCCATTATTGAAATTAAAGTAGCCTATGATTGAAATTAAGCACTAATGTGTGTATATATAAAAATACACTCCAAACATATACAACATGTATGTAGGGATAAGCTCATACAAATATCTAAAAACCAAATGCAGACACCTGCAATATGAGTTAACATTCGTATTCATCAACTTTAAGAACAACATTGTCACACAAATTAACAACAGAAAATAGCCCACCAATTGAACAAAATACAAATTAACAACAGCCTAACATAACATAATGTTTTAGGGTCTTTCCCTAGATGGATGATGATTAGAGGACTTCCAATCCATTATTCTAATAAAACCGGCGTATCCAAGATCTGTATGAACAGTTTTCTATTATTCTAATAAAACCGGCGTATTCAATCTCTGTTTGAAGGGTTCTCTAAGCCATTATTTATTGGATTAAAAAAGGATTAAAGGGGAATAACAGAATGATAACATACCATCTTCACTGACTTTTGTTTTGTTTTCTTTTTTTCTTTTTTACAAAAAGATAAATAAACAAAAAATTGATGTTTTGAAACAAACCTTTGAAGTTACGAGTCACAAGCCTTCGAGAAGTTTGTGTTGGCCGGAGTGTGCTACTGTGCTAAGCACGCCGGAGGTGGAAATCGCCACAGAGCTGCCGTAGTAGTTAGAAATAGAGAGGTTTTGAGCCCTAGGCTGTGTTTTGATTTTTACGTCTTTTATTTCTAACCTTTTTTTTTTTTCAATTTTTTATTATTATTTATTTATATATATTTTCAATTGCAATTGGGCTACGATAAGGGCTTTCTAACAGAGGCCCATTAGACTCTAAAAAACATAGGATCTTACTATTATGAAAAATAATATTTAAACCTAAACTCTCAGACAGGGATTTTTTATCACTTTGAATGGAACCCAGTGTTTAAGTTTATTCGTGATAAAAATTTAAGAGTAACATTTTTACTCTTTATATAGGCGTCCATCCTCTTCAATAATTAATCTATACAAATATCTTAGATATTAACACATCTCTTCAAAATTCCATAATGTTCCACCGTACATAAATCTATTTTTTTCCTAAAGCACTCCATACAAAAACTTGTGTATACAATATTTTAGTTTTTAATGGTTCCACAACCAGGTTTTTTTGTCTTTTCGTATTAGTTTCATATTCTTATTTATTTATTTTTTAAGTTTTACGTTCTTCATTATTTAGTTTACATGAAAACAAAAAAAAAAAAAAACAAAAAACAAAACAAAACAAAACTAAACAAAACAAAACTGTACACTTAGCTTGCACAATTGAATCACCTAGGGCAATAAGAGTCAATCTCTAAGTAAAAGTATCACCGCCGTAGATATGGTTTTAATAAGGAGCGGAGTTGGGATTTCAATTCAGGAGGCACAATGTAAAAAAAATTGCAACGAACCTGGCAAATATAAATTGTTCAAATGAAGGAGAAAAAAAAATCATTGCAAATATGCTAAATCAATGAATAGTATAAGAAATATAAGTATTTGATCAATATGAAAACTAAAATATTATTTAATAATTAATACAATATTTTCATTTAATATAGTTGTAGATCTTTTATTTTGAAAGTGATGCATGAAAATTAGACCCATTAACTTCATAAATTAGAGTACTAAATTAAAATAAATATAATGACTTTGAAAGGAAACAATTTGATTTTGATTGAAGAAGGAAAATTTAACTCTTTTTAAAGAAAATTAAACGAATTTTAAAAGTATAAGAGAAAAGAAAGAAAAAATTAAGATATAATTTAAGAAATTAAAAATTTTAGAGTGGCATAGAAATTTTCTTATAAACATAAAAATAAATTTAGAAAATAACCATATTTTATTCTAGGCGGACATGTGCCACTCCGCCCCTGCTCTTAATACTATATATTAAGAAATACTATGAGAAATATAGATTATAACATTCTTAGATTTTTTATGATTTTAGTTTTATAGCATCCCAAATATTTCAGGCTCCCCCCTGGTTCCATGTTTTTGTTACTTTTATTTAGATTTAAACCACTTGATTTTGTAAAATAAAACACCTTCTAAGTGATTAAAAACTGTTTATGGGTACATATGAAATATATATGTGCTATAATTTGGTGATATAACTACAATATTATTGCTTTGTGAATCCTTCATTTTTATTTTATTTTTAAAATTTTTACCAGCCTGACTGTTATAAACCCTTGTAAGTTAACCATGTAGAAATGGATTTTGTTAGTGGTTTTCTTCCATTTTTATTCCTATATCTTTCCTTTATATTTTTTTCATAAATCTTCCTTAAATTTTGGGTTGCCACCAAAACAACTAAGATTGACAATGTAAGAAACTGCTACAGCCCCATTGTGTGTATTGCATTACAAAATAACAAAACTAATTCAATTATTCACGGACAGCTTCAGGAATTGTTAATAGGGTAGGTTAATATTTTTTTTTGGTGACTTAATACTAGTAATAAATTTTTTTTTAGACAGTGCTAAAATTAGCTATACTAAAAAATTATTAAAAAACAATTTGGGATGGGCTTTAGCCCAACTAAATATACACACAGATCCGCCATTTACTAATTCGTATATATAATTAGTCTTCCTGGTGAATAGAAATAACATTTTACTAATAATACTTTTTTTAAACAGAAATTTGCTAAATGAAAATTTTTCATGGTTAGAACCCGAGTACACTCAACACAAGTGAATTTAGATACTTCTCATGTGTAACTATCTATAATTAAGGCGATTGCTGGATAGAACTATTTGCAATAAAAGGACCAAGTGCAAAAAACACTCTTATGTTTATAATGCATATCACACTATTCATGCAAATGACATCCTTAAAGTTTTAATTTGGTGTAAATAAGTCCCTCTGACAAATTTAAACCCTAAATTGACTAAATTACCCTTACTGAACCATTTTATAAAATATATAAAAATACATAATTTTGTAAAATGATCGAAAATGACACTATTGGAGATGTCCTTCTCGTACAAAAACACCCCTAAAGTTTCAATCTAGTGCAAATACATCCCTCTGACAAATTTAAACCCTAAGTTCACTAAATTACCTTTACTAAACCATTTTATAAAATATATAAAAATAAATAATTTTATAAAATGACACTATTGGAGGACGCCTACAACGAACAAGTAAAGATAAAAAAAATTATAAAATAAAAATAAAAGTAAAAACAAAAAACAAAAATAAAGTGCAAACTAAAAAAACAAAATTTTCCAAACTTCGAAAACCTATGCACACTGATATTGGGATTTTTTTTTTTTTAACAGTGTTGGTAAGGAAAAAAAAAAAATTAGTAGAAAAGAGTAAAATGGAATCTCAAAATATTCAAATCCTTATTCTACAAATTCTCAAAGTTTAAAAAAAAATGTTTAGAAATATATGTAGAGAAAAAAATTTAAAATATATATATATATATATATAAGGTAATGTGCACATAACATCCTTATACTATGAGATTAATAGCATATATACTCCTTGGGTATTTTCGGAAGAGTAAAAGGGTAAAACGAGTATTACAGCACTAATTTATGTCAGATAGTATATTTTTGCACAATGTAAAAAGATATGGATGTTTTTTGCTCACTTTTTTCAAATAGGGATAGAAGTGTTACACAGAGTATACTTTAGAGGTGTTTTTTGCACTTGTCTCACAATAAAATATAAAATGTATAGCTTAAGAGTTTTTCTGCAATTTTTGTAGCTCAGGGTTTATTGAAAGTTGAACAATAGTTGGATTTTTTATTTTTATTATTTTTTCGATTGTTCAAGTGCAAGTGGGAAGATTTGTTAACTTTTAGCAACCATAAGTAGGTTTAATCGTTTCTAGTTATTAGAAATGAAGCGTTTTTTATGGTCTCAAACAAGAAATAATTCAAATTCAAGATTATTGGGAATTTGGGAATAATGCATTGCCTTATTTTAGGGTGCCCATGCCTTCTGGAATGTGAATTGCCTGTAATTCTTAAGGCTATGTTTGGTACAGTGGCCAAAAAAAAAAAAAAAGAAGGGTAACAATAGTTACCATGGAAAAGAAATGATAATTTTAACCTCTTATCGTGTTTGATTGATTAATGAAGAAAAAAAAAAAAAAAATGATAATAATCATATTTGGAAAGGAAACTATGTTAATAAATTTATCAATATACCCTCCTACATTTTAAAAGATAAATTTATAGGTTGAGTACTCAAATTTTTTTTTAGGACAATCACTGGGCAAAAAAATAAAAATAAAAAATTGTCAGCTTGGATCGTCTTTAGCCTCATAAAAATAAATCATTTTTTAACCTTCTAATTGAAATGTAAAGGTTCAGATCTGGCGGTTTTCACAATAAATTTTGAAATATATGAAGTTCCCATGGTCTGTGTATACAAGAATGCTTAACCAACTACCTCTTTGTTGCCAGAATATTAAAAAAAAAAAAAAAAAAAAAAAAAAACACATATCTACGGCAAAAATAGCAACTATCAAGCATGTAAGTAATTGAAAGAAACTTTATGAACATAAGAGCAGGGTAGAACATAATGACCAGAATTAAATACCACATCAAGAGATATACTTCATATATTTTATATTATAAATGAAATATACATATATATATATATATCATATATATTTCAACAAGTAATAAAGAAAGCCATGTACATAGAAAATCAAAAGGAGTAGAAGTTCTCTTCTCCAAACTCTGACTCAAGGAAACGTACACCACTCAAAATAATGAAGAGGAAAAATACCACGTACTCTATAATGATACAGAATGCATTGAAAAACTAATTTAACAAACTAATGAAAACTGAGAGCACCACTGAAGAACATGAAAATCTATGGCTACAATTAATTTTATTATTTTTTAATAGAGACCACCAGCAAGAGAAGATCAACCAGGAACAAAAGAAACCAGCCTCCTTTGTTTCCCGCCTTCCTCAAAGTGAGAATGTGAAGGGATTAAATTGAAAGAAGAAGAAAGAACCTCCTTCTTCCTTTTGGCGCCTTTGTTTCTCAGAAATTTGCTAATTGAATGGGTAAATATGCCCTAGGACACATCTGTAATTCTAATTTTGTGTTTTATAAATACATGGCAATGTTGGTATTTACAAAATTCAATTATAAAATGTTGTATTTCCCCTCCTTTCCTTCCAATTTTGGAAGAATATGTTGAAATCCCTTTATTTTTCTCTGTTCTGTTTCTTTTCTTTCTCATATGTTACACCAAACACGAAATTCCATCTCCTTCCATTACCTTTCATTTCTTTTCCTTCCATTTCTTTTCAACCAAATGAGAGGGGAAATGGAATTCCCACAAATATATGTTAAGCATCAATTATGTGTATCTGGTAAATGAAATTGAAGCTTATATTAAAAATAGTATAAAAGTATTTTATTCACATAAACTTGGCTCAGCCAGTCTGACCTATCAAGCAACAATACCCGAGCCAGGAAGCCAGAACCCATCTGCCGTACGGCACGGCTCCCATACCTTCCCAACACCCCAAATATACCAATATTGTATATATATGTGTGTGTGGTGGTGGTATTAAATTAATATTTAACACAATTATTTCACTATAATATTCCAATAAAAAACAAGAGCCACTTCAACTTCCCAATTTTACCCTCCTTATTCATCAAAATTCCCCACCCTTTATAAACAAATAAATTGGTTTATCTCGGCTCCGTCTCTCCCTGTCTCTCTCCACTTTCTCTCTCTAAACCTCTCATTTTTCTCTCTCTACACCTGCACTGCACTGATGGAGGAGAAAGGAGAGACCTCCTCAACGGAAACCACCACCACCCACCACCACCACCTGACGATCCCACAGGGCGTGACCCAGGACGAGTTTCACGAGTTGAAACCGCTGATCGCCGAGTTCCACAACTACCGAGTCAACGATGGCCAATGCTCCACCCTACTCGCTCAACGCGTCCACGCGCCGCCCGACACGGTGTGGTCCGTCGTGCGACGCTTCGACAAGCCCCAGGCGTACAAGCATTTCATCAAGAGTTGTAGCGTGGGGGAAGATTTTAGCATGACCGTGGGGTGCACGAGGGACGTGAACATCATATCGGGGTTACCGGCTGCAACCAGTACCGAGAGGCTGGACATACTGGACGATGAACGACACGTCACCGGTTTCACGATTATAGGGGGTGAGCACAGGCTGAGGAATTACCGGTCGGTGACGACGGTGCACGGGTTCGAGCGTGACGGGAGGATCTGGACCGTCGTTTTGGAATCGTACGTGGTGGATGTGCCGGAGGGGAATACGGAGGAGGACACGCGTCTGTTCTCCGATACGGTTGTGAGGTTGAATCTGCAGAAGCTGGCGTCGGTCACCGAGGGGTTGGCACGTGATGGTGATGGTAAATAACAGGTGATGTGAATAATCAAATTAAAAAGAACTGATTCGGAAAAACAAAATTGAAGATAAATTTTATTTTATTTTTTTTTCCCCCTTCTAATTGGGGTTTCTTTTTCTTTTTTTCACGTCTGTAAGGTATTTTATTTTCTTTTATTTGGGAGTACCGTTTTATTTATTATTATTATTTTTAATTTGAAATTACAAAAACATCCCTTTTCAAATAGAATGATTTGGCGGATGCCCTCCGGCTTGGAGGTGTAATGAAAGGTAAGGAGGGCATTTTAATCAATGCAGATGTACAGAAATGACAAGGTTAAGGGTTGGTGTAATTTCATGTTGTTGAAAATTTTATTCCTAAGGATTATTTAACTTATTTATTCAGTTTGGGGGCAATGTTGTCCATCTACTCTGCAATTTTGTTACTATGGTATTACTTATTAATACTCCCTCCAGCTTTTTATTTTTGTAATTAAATATATATTTTTTTCTAACAACAATTAAATGTGCTATTTGAAAAGTCAAAATATTAAATTTTTTTTTTTTTTTTTTTTTTTTCCACCACCAATTTAAGCTTATTTCCATTGCAACATGTGGACTGTGGAGAATGAGCTTAATGTTTTTTTTTTTTAATAACCAATTTAAGCTTATTACTATTACAACATGTGGACGGTGGAGAATGAGTTTAATGTTTGTGGGTATCAGTTTTACAAACTTTTACGGAACTTTACTCGCCCAATAAAGATAGGACCATATTTGAAAATTCATTCACTATCGATATAATAAAAAAATATTAAAATTTGATTTTTGAGAAGGAACAATTAATTTGAGATCAAGGGAGTATAAAGTTTAAAAAAAGAGTAATAAGCATATGAAACACTTGTAGTGAATTATCTAACTAAATAAATTTTAACTGGTTATTTACATCAAATACAATTGAGTGCAAGACTTTACTTTCTTATTTGTTATATAATTGGTTAATTAAAAAAAATAAATCTAGCAATTCAATATAATTATACAATGCAAGAATTATTTCCTTTAAAAATTGCTAAATGCTAATAAATTCATTGACAAATTTAAAAGATATTTTTTTCCTAATTGGAATAATTTAAAAGAATTGTCAGTGTGCGTATAAGTCTAAGACTGCCCATTCAGATTTCGTTGGGGTTGGGACCCCTTTGCCTACTCGTATTGGCTCATATTCGAAAACGCATGGGCAGGCATTTAGTTCTCTGGCAAGAAGATATAGTATTGGCTCGTATTCGAAAACGCATGGGCAGACATTTAGTGTGACGTCGAATCAGGAACTAGCCTTGATCTGATATCATTGGACCGAACACTTGTCATTCGATGCAATAACTAAAGTTGTCAGGTGGGGTGTTACCGACCCACCCTTATAAATCCAAGACCCTTCCTATTTGTATCTAACATGGGACATGAATCCCTAACAACTAAGGCTGAAACGTTCAAAAGTATTTCCTTTTCAAACTCAAAGGTTGAGAACTCATAAAATCAAGCTTCCTTTGCTCGTCAAAAAATAATGTTTAGAGAATTATAAAAAATAATTCTCTTAAAATATGATATTTTTAACTGACTTGTTTGTCAGAAAATGTCAACTAAACATTTTTATAATATTTTTAGTTTTTAATTCTCAAAAAAAAAAAAAAAAAAAAAAAAATATTTGTCCTTTTAAAATTTATCCGACCAGACCCTACAAGTTTATTTGTCAAATTTTGAAAAATGAAACATTGAAGACCTAAACTTTGCTGTAGTTTATCGGAAGTTGGCACAATTGATCCCATGAGATTTTCATGTTGTTAAAAATAATTGAAAAAAAAAAAATTAAAAACAACAAAAAAACAAAAGAAGAAAAGGAAAGAAAGAAAGAAAGAAAGAAAGAAGATATTACAACATTTAATATTTAACAGAAAAGGGACCATTTGGAGGGGATCTGTGTCAGAGTGTGATTGACCTGGACAACCTCGAGGGAACAAAAAAAAAATATATATATATATATATAGAGAGAGAGAGAGAGAGAGAGGATTTTAAAGTCATGTATTTACCTTTTAACAACTTGTGTTACAGTGACTACACAACTAGAACTAAAGATTCTTTTCTTTTGTCCAAAAGGACCAAATTAAATTAACCTCTTAGTTTTACAATGACTATGCAACTATTATACTAATAAATATAAGATTTTTATTTTTTTTCTTTATATACTCAACTAATATATAGGACCAAAAAGGTGCTGCCCCAAAAAAACAAGGAAAAAAGAAACAAATTTGGAAATAACCTGAAATTTTAGAAAAAGAGAAAAAAATTGAAAAAAAATTAGCAGCAAGTTATATAATTTTTTTTTTCCTAGCTAGTTAAAGCTTTATAATTATGTAGCATTGAAGTGAAATAATGCTTTAAATTAATTCCGATTTGGTGTCGGCATAGAGTTAAGGTTTTTATTTTTTTATTTTTTTGATAAATGGCATAAACTTCGTCTTATGGACCAGAAAGAGTTCACTACTCTAATTAACGGAAAACTTTTTCATCATAAAAGAGAGGCAATAAATTAATCCCACTGACCATTGAAAAATAAAAAATAAAAAATTTAATCCCACCGTTTATAAACTCTATTTCGGGGGAGAGAAATGTCATGTAATAAGACATTATTTTTTGTTATACCAGACACAATCTAAGAATAAGTTGCTAGGGATTATTATTTTGTTCCAATAAAAAGACTAGTAAAGCTTAAAAATATAATTTTAATATTTAAATAGCTCAACTAACTTAGTTAAAGGGCAATAATGTTATTGAAGTGTCTTTATATAATAGTAATTTTCTTTTCTCAGCGGAGGCAACTATAAGGTAGCTCCATCCCTCCAGAGCGCTCGCGGAACGAGAACGCGTTCGAAGCGTAAGAGCGACATTTATTAAAAAAAAATTATATGACTTAAATTTAAAATCATTCAAAAAAATTATTATATAATTTCAAGCGATAAATATGTCAACTTTATTCGGATTATAATTTGCATCATTGCATGTCATGGGATCAAAAGAGTATATAATTTGTTATGTTTTTTTAAAATCTTGGGGACAAGGCAAGAGGGTATACTTTATAGTGTATAGTTAAGTGTGGTGAAATATCTAGGGGTGCTCAAAAGATGCTCATTTCTGGTAAGTTCTCTGGACACTAGGTCCCTTATTCTATTTTGAGCCAAGGTTTGAAAAAAACCACATTTTATTTTTCTTTTGAACAGAAGGTCTCCGTGATTTGTTTTTACAACTGAAGGTATTATATTATACTGTGTATATATATATATATAGATATAGATATATATTCATGAACCCTACCACGTTCCTCCTTCTATTGAGCCCTCTTCAAACGATAGTACAAGTCAAATTGATGGAGATTTGTCTGTTCGGAATCATGTCAGTTCGTGATCATCTCCAAGATCCGTCATGGAATGATTTAATGTTTCCTTGGTAGACTTCAAATTAACTTGAATTACAGTATAATTAGCGTGGAACCTTAGGTAGCTCTATTTCCTTCAAGACCATATATATATATATATATATTATGGTTCGCAGTATCGAGCAGGTCGCGATATTGATTACGATCGTAATGTAACGAACTCAGACAAAATTAGTATAAACTGATCAATACGGATCGCGAATCAAATTTATAAAAAGATTACGTATCAGACTATACGACGAATCATGATATATATATATATACACACACTTGTATAATGGTTACTTTAATAGATTCAAACTAAGTCCATTTTTATGTGAAAGGCACCTCTCAAGCACCATCTAACTGAAATAAGTTTTAAATGCTCGTATAAATTTAACGTCCATATATTGACTACAATATTTATCAGGCTTCACGTTATCTATAACAAACCGGAATAAGCTTCAACTTTTAGGTAGTAGCCCTCATTAGTCATTTATAATATTAAATTTTATCACACATCACTATGCATAAGGATGTAACATGTTAGATAGAATAATAATCATATTATATATAAACAAAGTAGTCAACTGTGCAACTAATATTAATAATTTAGTAGACGGTATACTGAATCCAGCTGTGTTCTCACGTTTGTGTCTCAAACAGCATCATATTATACAATATAATATAAGATAATATATTGCTATAATGTGGAACATGTTCTTTTTAAAGCCAAAATGGAGGGAATGTGTACGTCGAATCCAACTCAACTTCCTTGGCTATTCACCAAGTGATGCTTTGCATGCATTGTGTTTTCTTATAGCCAATTCAATGCGATATATGTAAGATGAACTTATATTCTGAGCTGCTACCAAGCTGTACTCGTGCAAGTGTGTGTATATATAAATGTGTGCGTATATATATGTGTGTGTGTGTGAAATTCACTATAATGGTCAGCTTGTAATTAATTACCATAGGGATAAGAAGTCAAAGAAGCAACTTGACTTGCATATATAGATAACAATAATTGCATGTGCATGCCATACAAACCTCTAGGCATTGCGCGGCGGTCTCTCTCTCTCTCTCTCTCTCCCCCTCTATATATATATATGTATATATATACACACATGAAGACTAGGGAACATAGCTTTCTATACTTGTATTTGGAACTATTATAATATTATGAGAGAGCATTTGAAGAACATAATATTCAACTTTCTTAATATAATTTTTGCAATTCAATTGACATTCCCAACTAATTTGTAAGGTAAAAAAGAAAAAAAAAAAAAAAAGTTACTCTTTCTTTCCTAGATCGAAGACTTAAAATAATTTGAGAAATTTTATCCATTTAATTTAATGTTTTTGACATAAATATTAATACATGGAAAATTCTATTCAAGGAATTAGAGTGTGTAAAAAGTATTATTGTTACTTAAATAACATTTACTAAAAGAGAAAAAAAAAAATTGAATATTTTGAGGATTGAAATTTATTGGTAATATCTCAATCTAGGTTTGGATTGGATAGAATGTGGTGTGCTAGTGGGGGCAATTTAGTAGGCAACTGCTTTTCATAAAAAGGTGTATGGACAATGAAAACACTATGTCTTGATCATTCGACTTTTCAAAATCCCTTTGAATATCCATGAACTCATCGATGGATGTGATTGAAATATATACATATATATATATATATAATTGTTAATGCATCTAATAATAGGTCCATGCCTCCATGGCCAATGAACTTTAAATAATAAAGATCACACATTTTGGAGAAAACTCTTCTTATTGATGGGATGGTCAAGACCACGTAAAGGGCACTCCCCCACCCCACAAAGAAGTCCGAGAAAGTGACTTCCTCTTTCTGGTAGGCGAGGGGGCTTTTTAGTGCCAATGCTTTTTAGTGCCAATTCAAGTTGCCAACTTGACAATAAAACAAT